TGAAATATGACTTGAGGCAGCAGTACCTTTCCCTCTATAGCTTTCTTCTTTCTGCTACTATAGTTATGCTTAAGCCTCTCTCTGACCCACAAGATTGAAACATCTACACATCAGTAACTCACCAATACAGAAAGAATAGACCTAGAATGAGTATTTAGAAGGACCTTGTATTGTTAAGTAGCACATTGCTACTCCAAGTGAGGATCTCACAAAGTCAGGAGGTAACGACAGGGTAACTAGTCAACAAAAACAGCCAAGTACAGCTTTTTAAGCATGTAATCTAGATCTGAGTAACCCCTGAAGCCAGTGAACCCAGCTATAGGGTATATTGGTATCCTTCCATTAAAATATATTGTCTACTGGATTAGGAAATAAGAACAGAGCACAAAAATGAGATTGCCTTAACTGATACCCAAGACTCAAGAGGTGGTGAAATAAACTGGCTCAGGATGGAAATAGTTTTGGGAACAGTAACATGAAACCCATAAGTGCAGAGCCCTCTTTCTATCTCATGTTTTGCTAGCAGCAGCAATGGGAGAGTACAGTAGGAAAGAGATGGAGAGGTAGCTCAGGAGCATAAATTTGCCGCATCTTTTGACAGTGACATGGATCTACTGAATACCTCAAACATACAACAGCCTTTGAGATCTGGCACTCTAGCAAAGCGGCAACTATATTTCTACAAATATGGTCCCGACTTGGTATCAATTGCAAGTGAATAAATATTGAGCTAGTTCCTTCAAACATATTTTCCCTCCCTGTAATACATCAATAGAGTGCCAGGTATGAAAGAGTAGGAAAACCATGCTCTGCAGTAACGGATATCCTTACAGAGTCTGTTGCTATTGCAAATAAACAATATTCAAGCCTGATTAGCTAGAGTTGCAGTAATTCTATTAGATCTGGCCTTGAAAATGTGTTTTGTAAAAAGAGTACTGAATACAGACTAAATGCATTTTGGTCTTTAGTGCCTACTTAAAGGCATCCTGGCACTTAAAGATTTAGTGGAATTTTTCACATTAGTGGCTGGCTCTGCATCAAATCAATGAGATTTAAACATTTCCATGCTACAAAGAAAAGGTGGCTATTTTGGGGTTTTAAGCACTTCAATACATTTGTGAGACTGATCTTTCATATTTTTAATATTGTGTGCAGAGGAATTTGAGTACTGACATTTCTATTCCCTGAGATGTTCCCATAAAAAATTCAGAACAAAATATGTACATTTAAAGATGTCCCTCAGCATGAATTTTCAGAGTAATTTCTATACACAACTATCAAAATATCTTGGTTTCGTACTGCTATATTCAAGTTCTTTGGAGTTCTAATGTATATTAAAATTTTAAGATATGTAATAGACTAAACCAAGTACTTTTAAAAGTTTTTAAAAGAACAGAAAGTGTAACTAAACAACGTATTCCTACACTCCTACAACTGCATTTTTCAATGTAAATTTACCCTGCTTATGGGAATATAATCAAATGTACAAGTAAGTCATAGATAACTTCTGATAAAATATCACTAGATATATTTGCTGAAATACAGATGTAGCAAACAACAGGGGTTTGAGATTAGCATGCTCTCTCTTTTTCTATCATTCTGCTGTAAGAGTTACAGTAACCATCAGTGGAAGGGCTAGCAAACATCAGTGGGAAAGGCCAGCAAATGTAGTCACTGTGTTTGTTTCACTTTATGAAATCATCAAAGATAGCATATCTTTTGTATCTTTTTACTTTTGTAAAGACTTTGACAAATCTGCTCTTTGCATTCACATTGGAAATTGCCAGTAGCCCACAGCAAGGCAGTGTGGCTGTCCATATTATTTCTTGTTTTATGCAGTGGTGCTTCAAGAATATTGAACTATATGTAACATTTTCACATTCTCTAAATCTGAAGGGGATTAACTGAACCTCATAGGGGAACTGTGCATAAAAAGGCAATGTTTTGCTCCAAGCAATGTGAACTAAGAAAGAATATATAAATACAGCCTGAGATGAATAAATCTGTAACTGCAAATCCACTGTGGCAGTAAATGGTTTCCCTTTAATAATGAAATACCATACTGGCAAAAATAAATATATAACTCAGGCTACCCCAACCATTATTGGACTACAAAATAACCATATTTTAAAACAGAGAGCCTTTCATTCTCTAGAGTGCTCTTTGGTCATGATTCAAATTTTCTTCTGCAATTAGGAGGGCTAAAACCTTACTTGAAAAAATGTGGAAACTGAGTCTGTCACACGGTCACTTGTTCTGGGGCTCGAAGTGAAACTCCAGATATTCCAGTACTGTCAGTAATACCACAGTTGGCAGCAGTACTGATGACCAAATTCCTCTTTATAAAACAAAGCACACACTGGCACTGCAGCTAAATTTCTTGGTTTGAGGAAAGAAAGAAAAAAAAAATATTTATTCAATAAAGGCAAACTTATTTGCTGGTAGGGAGGAAAAGAGAAGATTCCTGTTCAGTGAACACGTAGAATAATAACCTTTTGCTACAAAGCTTGATGGAATTTTTTAAAACCTTAAATGATTACTTTTTAAAGGGAAAAAATGTTTCTATTGATAAGAGTAGTGAGGGTCTCTCTGCTGCAGCTCAGATATTCTAAGCCTGAAGCTATAACTCACCTTTGGCCAGAGTTTTTCTTTCAGCAAGTTATTCGAGCTGCTCCCCTTCTATTCCTATTATTTCTTACTGTGCGTGCTGCTCCTATCCATACTGAGTTTGATCTAGCAAAAGTTAGCTGCCCTTGATGTTGACATTAGTATCTTAGAAAGGCACAGTTCTTGCCATGCTTTAGGGAGGCAGTAAGTTGCTTTAAGACTTTCCGAGATACAGCTGGAGTTGCATGACATGGTGTAAGGCAAGGACACTTGACCCTTTGTCTTTCTTTCCTTCCCAATCCCTTCCATGAGGTTGGGCACTTTTTCCACGCTTGGGTAGCTACTGCAGGGCTGCAGCACTTTGTGCCCTTTCTGCATTCAGTGAGTTGCAGGTAACCACCACAGTCATCACCTTCAGCAGCAGCAGCAGCGCACGGAGGAACCCTTGGGATGCTGCTACTCAGATAGACAGCACTGAGCTAAATCAATACTCTCTTAAGCATTCAGATAGTTTCTCTGGGTCTCAAAACCCAAGTAAGGGATCCTCTCCTCAAGCCTCTTAGATTTTGCAGAGGTTTCATTTCAGTCAATAAATAATATTCCTTTCTGTATCCTTCTTCAGAATTAACACTTCAGGTGGTGGTTTGGAAATGCAGTAAATAAAAGGTGAGACTCCCTGTTATCATAACAGAAACATCACTAACCTGGGATGAATTCACTTTCTGCGTTCAGATTTCTCTTTTTGCTTGAAGGCTTTCTGCTGTAGCAGTTACTGCATTTCTAGCCCATTCTAACTTTAGGTCCTACGTCGGCACAAAACTAGAATAAAAACAGAGCACTGGCACTAACTCCCCACCATATGCTTCGATCAACTTGACAAAAGTGTCATTGTGTGGCCCACCTCTACTCTGAGTCAAATTTGTATTACTGTGTGATCCCTTCCAGTGATGGTGAAAACATAGTCTCGCTAAGGAGAATTTACATATCTGCATCTCTCATGGATACAAATACCTAAGTTTGTCCAAATGAAGTGCCAGAAATTGTCTACCATCAGATTTCTATTGAGCACCAGCTTCTGTCACCTGCAATAGGCAGAGGATGTGCATAGCCTCAAGATGTAGAAAGATAATTTTAACTAAACAAAAGTTATTCCACACACGATGCTGAGCTGCTACCAGTTTCCTTATCCCATGAATAAAACAGTACTGTTGTTGGAAGCACTGTGGCTTAGCTCCTGGGAGTTCCTGCATGGGAAGCCATTCCAAAACTTTCTCTTATAGCAAGAAACAGTCATGAAGAAAAAGTCTTAATTACTGCAATAAGTAAGGTTGACTATTTAATAAGTCAGGCTGTATGGGTGAGGTCAATTTTTCCACCAAATTTTCCTCAGGGTTGACAGAGAGGGAGATGAGCAAACATACTGCACAACATTCTCATAGTGATTGAAGTTTTGTGATTAATTGCCATCAGCTGCCTTGAATTGTTAAGGCACAGAGCATAAGAGTATTACAAGATCATGCTTTGACAGCCTTTAATTCTAGACCTCTGCTTGGGTTTCTTCCACAGAAGTCAGAGAAATGGCTGTGAGAAGGTCAGATAATCAAGTTTCCCAGATCAATGAGTCCTGAGGAGAACAGAGTTATTCTGTACTGCCTTATTAGACAGCCCAGGTAAGAAGCTCTCTCTGGGGACTGTATTCCCATCCCATGACACAGCAGGTATCTATACAGAAAAACAAAGAAACCTTTCTGTTACTAATGCAGCAGGCACATTCAATGTTAGTTGCAACTTTTGAATTTTGAAAAAAAAAGTCCAGGTTTTGTTTAAAAAAAAACTCTACAACACCCTAGATCCTCTCTCTGCTAGGGGCACCTTGCTGGAGTGGCTTCCTGACCCTGTGCTGGTGGTATCTTGCATCCTCTCAATTGCAGGATAGCAGCTCTCAGGGAGGCTCTCTGCCTTTAATTTGAAGCAGCTGTGATTTTCATCAAAGGCCACTTTACACAACACAGAGAAGAGCCAGGTGAGGGCTCCTGTTGCTTGTTTTGCTCCTCTGTTCCTGCTCCCATTATCCCCCACTACCTGGGTTCCTCACTGCTCATAAATGTCCCCTTTTAAAGTATCCCCAGCTACAGTATGAAAGTTGGTGATATATAGCATATTCTAAAGAAAGATCTGCCTCTGTTCAAAAACCATCCTGACCTCGGGGCCGAAGAAGAACAAAATAACGTATTAACAAAAACACAGTTTACTGCCAAAGAAAAGGAGTTCCTGTAAGGACTGAAACAATAAATCTCCTCCGTACTGAACTCCCAGAGGGAGTATGTTGTGTTTCCTCCTGTTCTTTATCAAAGTCCCCAAAATAAGCAGGAATGGGCAGTGACTAGGCACAGTCTCTACACACCTTTTTCCATGGAGTAATTAAGGCCTGCCTCAGAGTGAGAGTGCACTCCCTGCCCAGCTGTGTAAGGGAGAGCTGACAGCACCACCACTACCAAGCATGAAGATCCTGGGGATTGCCTTCTTTTTCCTAGCTGTACTCTGTGTTTGCACGGTAGGAGGTAAGTTCTCTGGCTTTTTTGGATAGACTTGTCACATCTGTGGGGTGTTTTGTGAGAAAAATCTTAGCTGTCAGTAGCTGGATGCCTTTTTTTTTTTTTTTTTTTTTTTTTTTTCAGTTCAGTGATTGAAAGACTGTGTGTTGGAGGACAAGGTACTAACTGGTAGTTGAGTTATATGTGTTCTGTGAAAAACTTTCCTGCCATTGTATTTTTGTGACAGCTCTCTTTCTAGGTGTCATGAAGCTCCTCAATCTGAGAGTTAAAAGCAGAGGTATATTTACAAAGGTTTTCTGTTCTGTTTTTCTTCTTTGAAATAAAGCATCTTTTTTTATAGAGGCCTTTAAGGGGAGGGTATTGAAATGTCTGTCAGATTCTGCAAACAATGCCTTTGCAAACCAAATCTATCCTGATGGATTTCCCTGGCAATATACCAGCAGTAAGTTTGGCCAAGGGTATCTCTCAGAAATCGTCTTAGTTTTGCCCCCAGAGATTTAGGGGTTTACAGCATTTATTGAATGTCAAATAATGAGGGATTCAAGCCTAGGGATGATATTAGTTAGACAGGAATATCTTTTAAAAATTATTCTCAAATGCACAGATTTAATCAAGCTTTGTGGCGTTCATATGGTCATTGAACTTCTGTTTTCATTATTTTTCAGTTTGAAAGATCCTGCTTTTAAAGTGGAATTAACTAGTAAAATCTGAAAGGGTGAGAGAAACTGTAATAAGGGCCAGAATCTATCATCGCATTTGCAAAAAGATACATTTGAAGTCAAATCTGCTTTTTATCTGTCCTTGTATTTGATGGCCCTCTGGTGTGAATACTTATAACCAAAGCTTCCACAAATGCCTATAAGGGATTTTATGAATCAGAAGTTTAAAAATTGATAAAGCTAGATTAACTGGCCTAAAAAAAGTTAACTTTTGCTCAGATTATAGGTAAAAATCTAAAAATGTCTTTTGTGGTGTAGTTTATGCTATTTCTTGGGCCTACTGCTCTTAGGAAAAAAAAAATCAATAAAGGAGATTAAAAATAAAATTGTGACACAGAAAAACGGTTTTTAAAACTATGTTAAGTAAGTACAAGCCCTGAAAGTCTGTGATGAGGTACTATTTATTCTCTGTCTGCTACTTCTAGTAAAAATAGCCTTCCTGTCATTGTTAAACGTTTAATTTCACAACTTCTGAAAAGCAAAGTGGAGTTGGATCAAAAGGAGCATATTTAGCACAACAGTCCATAAAGCTTATCAGAAAGCAACATGCAAAGGTGGGAGGAATTCTGTCAATTTTATACAATCCTTTCTTTAAAAAGGATTTTCCCTCCTCTGCGTGATATGAACAGGGCAGAAATGATGACAGTGAATAAGCAAATTTTATGTAGGATATATTTGCTCTGAACAATTTTGGTTCTGTAAAAGTCGGGGCGGGGGGGGGTTAATGCTTTAGTGCAAGGTAGACATGGTAGTGAAATTCTGTTGGTAAATTCACATTAGAAAAATAAGAATACGTGTTAGGAAATTTGGAGTATGTCTCTGTTTACCTCATGAAAGTAAAAGCATGTCATCTGGTCAAGCTTCCTCCAGGCTACCCCATGCACCGACCTCTTAAGGCAGAAGCAGTTTTATTGTCTGTTATATGAGGCTGGACCAAAGTCTTTGGCTTTCCACTGTTTGTGATCTCTAAAGTGGCCTAGACATCCAGGCTGCAACAGCAGTATTTTATAATCTGAAGAGAGGAATGGATTGTAAGGAGGCTGACAGCAGTCTCCCTCATGCTCAGTGTCCCTTTTCTGAGCATTGGAGACAGCAGCAACACATTTCTCCAGTAGCTTAGAAACACTTTTAGTAATTTAAAATTATGCTCAGTAAAATTTAGAGAAGGTCAGATCACCCCCCAGTGTTTTAATACTCAGTCTCCCAGGTTTTGGGGTAGTTTGTCTTCAAAGCTTACTGAGACAAGTAACATGGGTGCTTGCAGCCTCTTCACATAATACACACAAGATGCTTGTCTTTTTATTTTTTGTAAATCATGCAGAAGCGGACAAGGGTGTTTCCACTGTGGTTAGTAAAGAACGTACCAAATCTCCTATGGATCTTCCACATTTCATGCCTTCAGCCTCTATGCTGTTGGTGCTTTCTTGGTAATTTTCTAATTCATCTTGGGATCTTGCATCTTGGGATCTTGCATCTTCAGAAGTCACTAATGTTTTGGTGGGATCCCTCTGTCAACAAATTGCTAGAGGCTCAGTTATGTACAGATGTGGAGGCCAATAGCCTCTTGACAACTTGTCCATCCTCTCAAGGCTTTTCTCAACCCTTGGAGAGCTAAATGACATGCTTAAAGCAGGAGTTCCTTTATATTCCTCTCAAGGTGTTCAGTCCTCCTGGCATATTACCTTTTATTCTTACCTGCTCCAAAGCGTACCTCAAATAGAAATGCTTTCAGTAATCAAATATAAAGGGTCTTGAGTCTGCGTCAGGATGGTTACTTTTAAAATGTGTAAAGATGAAGTTAGTTTTTCTAAAATATGAGGGGAGAGGAATTGGAATGTACTTATAATCTAAGTGCTTAGAGGTTACATCTTCATGTGCCTTGGCCTTGTAACACAGCATGACTATGGCTACTTGGCATAGCTACATCTTGTGGCACACTGCAGCTTCCTTCCCACTCAGGCACCCAGGTTTCTTTCTTGCAGAAATGATAGGAGAAAAGAGTGAGGTTGCGCTCCTCTTAGCATCAGTCTGGATATGCATTCAGGTTATGCACTCAGATGTAGGAGCTGGAACGTGCTGCGTCCCGTTGTAGATGTACAGTGGGTGGGTTTATTAACATCTGATTAGTGACCCCTGTTGACAGCTAGCAGTACCTTTCTCCAAGAGTGCTCTTGTCCAAATTGATGGCACTACAAAAAAACAAGGGTGTTTTTCATTTTGGAAAGGTAGGAACAAATCTTGGCATTGAGAACCTGGTCTAAAGGCCACTGAAGCAATTTGGAGCTGTTGCATCAGCCCAAAGTTACACCTTTCCCAACCCTCTTCCCCGTTAAGGGGATGCTGTGGAGCCTGGGACATCATCACAACCCTACAACGCAGCCAATTAATCCTGGCTCCCAGGCTGATAGCTTGAGAAATGTTCCACTGAACCAGGGCTCCTGTAGAGATTACATACATTTGCCGCTGCCCAAATTCTGCTCTTATCGATGTTAACTAGAGGAGATGGATAGCCTTTTCCTTTTCCATCTTCTGTGCTCTCAGGTCACAAGCCTTCAAGTCTTTAAAACAAACAAACAAAAAAAATTAAATGCTAACTAAACCATTTTGAGCAGTTAAAGCTTTTGAGCATGGTCTCCCCTTATTCTGGGTTATTATTCATTGCTGTGCTCTGGGGAAGATGAGCAAGGCACAAACTGTCACAGTCAGATCATTGTCTCATCTCTGAAAATTTGAATAATGTTCATAGGCTTTAGATTACCAGCTGCTTTTTCACACTGTTAGCTTGCTTGAAACCAAGCTTTTAATGTCTTGAGAGTTTCCCTGTTGTGAAAAAAAAAAAAAAAAAGGGTGTGTGTGGTGTGTGTGTTGGGTGTTTCCACTGTTCCTAGCAGTTTGCAAGACTAGCTTTCTCAAAAGTCAAATTGTAGTGCTAGAGTTCACCATAGCATTTTACTGAGTTTTTGTTTCTGTACATTTTTTTAAAAAATTTCCTTTTTTTTTTTTTTTTTTTT